GGTGGTGGTCAGGGCCAGGTGGGGGAGGAGCCCAGCGTGGGCAGGGCCTTTGGCTGGCTCCAGCATCTGCCCCACGCCAGGGACTCTTGCAGAGGACCCGGCCTACACACCCCGCGAGTGCTTCCAGCGCATCAGCAGGCGTCTGCGAGCTGTCCTCAAGCGAAGCCGCATCCCCATGGTGAGTACCAGGCTGGACCTCATCTCTTTCCACTTGCCTGGTCTTTTTTGAGGGCCTTTTTAATAAGTTCTCAATTAGGGGCGGGGTGAGGGGAGACCAGTTACCCAGCAAACATGGTGTGGTGGAGACAGGGCGCGATACAGGCCAGTGTAATCAGAGTGCAGGACCTGAGGCTGGGCAGGGGCTCGCCTTGAGGGTGCAAGAGGCGGGGGCAATAAAGGTAGGTACTAGGGGATGTGTAGGAGTTCACCAGGCAGAAGGCTGAGATACTCAAAGGTGTGAACGTGTCTAAGTGCCTGGTATCCTTGGATACAGGTAAGCAGCCTCAGGTAGCAAGTTAGAGGCCACATTTGAACCCAGGGCTCTGGGCTCCAGAGGCTACCCCGTGTGTGGGGCCTGGACAGTTTGGCTGGTGTCCCACAGTCATCCTGACCCTTGGGCCCGTCTCTTCTGCAGGAAACGCTGGAGACCTGGGAGGAGCGGCTGCTGAGGTTCTTCTCTGTGTCCCCCCAGGCCGTGTACACGGCCATGCTGGACAACAGGTGACTGGGTAGGGGTGGGTACAGCACACTCCCCCATTGCCGGGCTCTGGCCGCTCACCACCCGTTCCTCTGCAGCTTTGAGAGGCTCCTGCTTCACGCTGTCTGCCAGTACATGGACCTCATCTCAGCCAGTAAGTGCCTGGGGGCCCATGGGACCCCAGTTGGCAGATTGAGCCTGGGGAAAGCAAGACTGGGCTTACCCGGGGTATGCTTTGCCAGTGCGAGCTTCTGGGAGAGGAGGGAGGGGCAGCAAGTGCACAGAGGCCGCCTGGGACACCACGTTAACCTGTCAGAAGCGCCCGTGCCTCTGGCCCAGGCCGGGCGACGCTGTGGACACAGATGCCCCTCATTCTGCATCTTTAGGGCTGAGGGAGAGGGTGGCCTGTGTGTGGCCAAGGAGACTGGGCCTCCGGGGGCCCTTGAGATGAGGTGAGGGGACCCTAGTGTCAGCAGAGTTCTCATCTAGCCATAGCCCTTCCACTGGGCCATACATGGGACTTCCGATAAGTCCCCCCACCCAGGGCCTGTTTTACAACAGGGTGGTCTCAGACACAGACCCCCTAGGGAGGGTCCTCACAGGTCCTGGCTGGCCCTCGGCGTCCCGTCGGGTCCTCACTCCTCATGCCTGTCTCTCTGCCTCCTGCCTGGAGTCGCTGAGGAGACAGTTTCCATGGCAACCCCAGGATAGTTGCTCTCACTTTCCCTCAGAGGAAGATGCAGCCTCCACGTTTGCTTTTGTTCCCACGGACTCAGGGTGGAGGGGCAGGGCTAGGGGTGCTCCTCTTTGGGAGTGAGCCATGGCCTGAACACAGAGCAGGGGGTGGGGCCCTAGGAAGATGGGGAGCAGGGGCGGGAGACAGCCGCGGGCAGAGGCCTGGAGGTGGGACCAGTGGGGCTAGGCATGGCTGCAGGGTTCGGGTTTTGGAGTGACAGGAGGTGGGGGGAAGGGAGGTTGCCGGGGGGGGCCAGGCCACCTGGGGCCTTGGTGCTTCAGAATCCCCTCTGAGGGTGGGGATGGGGGTGGTGACAAAGCTGGAGGCAGGACCTTCGTTCAGTCCCCTTGGCTTCAGGCCTGCGTGTCTCAGCTGTGTGTCTAGTGTGCCCGTGGGACATGGGATAAGTCCCGGAAAAGGACGGACCAGCTTGCAGAGGGAAGGCATTCAGGCAGCATGAGCTGTTCTGGGCGCCAGGCCCTGGGTTGCGGGGGTCAGGGTGGCCAGCTTGCGGGGACCTCCGGTGGGGCAGGCTGGGGGCCCAGCTCTTCTGTGCCACGACCCTAGTGATCCCGGCATCCGGGCCCCTCCCACAGGTGCTGACCTGGAGGGCAGGCGGCAGATGAAGGTCAGCAACCGGCATCTGGACTTCCTCCCACCGGGGCTGCTGCTGTCTGCTTACCTGGAGCAGCGCAGCTGATGGCGGCCCCGCGGTGCCCGCCCGCCGCCCCCCTCACCATGCCCTCTGCTGCCCTCCCCTGACGCAGCTTGATCGTTTTAGACTTCTCCCTTGGAAACTCTTCCCCTTGGGGTGGCCCCTCCCTGCCCAGACAAAGGCTGGTGGTAGGGGCTGCTTCACGCCCTCTGGCCAGACTGCCCGCTCTGGGATGCTGTCTGGGGCAGGGACCCCTGGCCTGGTCGCTCCCGTGTCCCTTCCTCGGTCAGTGTCAGATGCTGAGGGGAGGAGGCAGAGGCTGGGTTTTTATCATTTTTAATGAATTTGATGTGATTTGTTGTAGATTTTTAAATTTCCCTTTTCAGAAGAAAAGCCAAAAACTTGCCCCAAGTGATAAATCGGGGGGCTTCATTCCAGTCCCTGCGTGGGGGTCTCTGGCGCCCTGACCCTCACCCCAGGAACATTACGTTTTGCGCGTGTGTGCGTGTGCATGTGTGTGCCCTGCAACCCAGGACAGAGGCTGTGTGTTGAAGGCTGGTTTTACCCTCTTTGTGGACTGTGTGTTGTCCACCCCTGGTGCCCTTTGGTGGCTCTTGGGGCCCCATCTGCTCTACACACCCCCTCCTTCCTACTAGGGGTTTGGGACTTCCAGCCAGAAGCCTCCACCCTCAGACTGTCCTGTTCCCCTCTCTGTGTCCCGTGCTCCCCAGCCTGGCTCTGGGGTGTCCCCGTGCTGGTCACCCTGGCGTGGCACATGAGAGTGGGGCTGGGAGACCCACCCTGCCCCCGCGCGTGTGGCTAGTTGTGCTTTGGGAAAGTGGAGAGTTCAATAAATTTCTGGTGCTCTAATCCCCAGCTCTGGAGTTTTCCTTTGGGGCAGGGCTGGAGGCACGAGGGGCATTCACGATGCCCTTGGGTCCTGGTCGTTGAGGGATGACACCCCACATGGAGGCAGGTGTGTGGGGACTCTGCTGGGAGCATCCCGGCCCTTGGCTCCACCTCCTGGCTTGTCCCCTCCGGAGTGCAGAGGCTCAAACCCCAACTGCACCACTTCTCAGCTGTGTGACCTCCAGCAAGTTCATTCGTGTGAGCTTTCTGGGTCGCTGGAACAAAGTGGATCACAATGCGGCTTAAAACCACAGGAATTTATTGTCACGCAGTTCTGGAGGCCAGAGGTGTGAGGTCAAGGTATCAAAGGAGGGTCCCTCCTGCCTCTTCCAGCTCCTGGAGGCTCTGGCCTTCTTGGCTTGTGGCCGCCTCCCTCCAGCCAACATCTTCATGTGGCCTCTTCCCTGTGCCTTCATCTGTGTGTCTGGGCCTGGCTGTGTGTCCTGCAGGACTCCGCAGCCTGGGTCATCTGCTGTTTCTCTCGTGATGGCACCAAGGGAACTGCCCTCCCCCGGCCACAGCAGGGGTCTCTGCTGTCCACAGGGCTCTTCACAAGGCTGACCTTGTCCCTGAAGGTTGAAAATTCTGCAGGAGAGATTTGTCTCTATACCTGCTCCGCGTGACCGAGAACCAGCCAAGGAGCCTGCTTCCTTTCACCCGGGCACCGTTTAGAAACCAAGATCTATCTGGGTGCTGTTCCATTTTAACAGACATTGTATTATTTTCGGCGGGGGGCGGGGTAGCGGAATTCGATTTATCCATCTTTAGTTTAACGGAGGAGCTGGGGATTGAACCCCGGACCTAACATGCGAAGCCGCGCTCCACCGGTGTGCTGCATTCTCCCCTCCTTAACAGACATTGTAGTTTTCAACACAGATGCCGAATGAGGGAAATCCAAATGCACCAGCTTGGAGGCTCCCACGGGTAACGGGGACCCAACTTCTGGTGCCCGGAGGACAGGGCTGGGCTCGGGGCGCCCACAGGCTGCCTGTGCTCCCCTACGCGGACCCGCAGCCGGGCTCCCGGGCCATCGGGGTTTGCAGACGGGACGGGGTGGAATCCACACTGGCCCTGGATTGGTTCTCGCTTACCGAGCCCAGTTTCTCCATCCGCGGATGTGACGGGGAAAAGCAAAATATGGAACGCTTCACGAATTTGCGTGTCATCCTTGCGCAGGGGCCATGCTAATCTTCTCTGTATCGTTCCAATTTTAGTATATGTGCTGCCGAAGCGAGCACGGAACTGCCTCTAGTCCGACGGCTATTTAGAGCAAACAAAGTGGGCTGCTTTTCACAAAGGGTGACCTCCGTTAAAAAAGTTCAACAATTTACCTCTTACTTTATGATATTAGTGCAATAATAGCTTAACCAAGTGCGGGTCATTCACTGAAACTGAGAAAGTCTTTGTTTTTCACCAAGTATACCTCAGATGTCTGCTGGAACGCCATTAATGTATGCAAATTACCCCGGAAGCGGGGCGGGACAGGAGCCCCTGCCATCCCAGAAGTCTCCGGGAACGGCCGCGCTGCGCGGGCGACTCGTTGGTCCGGGGAAGATGGCGGCGCCCGAGCCGGAGCGTTAGGGCGCGTGCAGGCCACCGCCCGCTCGTCTGGGCGCACCGGCCGGTTCGGTGGGCGCTGGGCTGGGGCTCGGGCGGCCTGCCGGCCTCCGGACGGCACCTGGTGCCGCGGGGAGCGCGCAGCGGGAAAGGCGGCGACTCGCGGGCCAGGGGCGGGGCCTGTGGGGTCAGAGGACGGGCCTGGAGAGCAAGGGGTGCTGGGTACGCGGCCTGAGCGCTCTGGGTGGGGTCTGTGGGGGTGGGTCGCGGAGGAACCTCGGGGTGAAGCCTGAGGCGCCCCGAGGGTCGGGGGGACCTGGAGCGGGGGAAGTCGGGGCGGAGCCTGGAACGCGAGCAGGGGCGGGGCCTGACGTACCTCCCTGGGGAGGGGCCTGGGCGTTGCGCTGGGGTCGGGGCTTGAGAACTGGGGGGGGCTTGGGGACCGGAGCTGGGGGCCAGGGACTAGGTATTAGGTGAGGGCGTCCCTGGGACGGAGCCTGGGGGGTCTCACAGGGCGAATTGGAGGCAGGGCCTGGAGGACCAGCTGTATGGGGGCAGGGCCTTGCGATTGTTGGGGAGATCCTGAGGCGGAAACGGAGTTTAGGCTGGGACCGGGGACACTGGGGGTGGAGTCTGGAAAGCAGATGTCGTAGGGGTAGGGGCCCGGGAGGCTTAGGGGCAGAGCTTAAAGACTGTGGAAGGGACCTTGTGGTCGGGTCTTGAAGAAGCATGGCACCCGGGGTCGGTGATTGAGAAAAATGGGTTGATGGTACTTTTCGGCCTCCCTGAGCTTTGGTAACGGTGAAAGGGAATAGCCTTAATCGATGCCGGGCACATAGCGCCGAGGAAGGCTAGTGTTTCCGCTATCACTGTTACCTTCGGAAGTCCCGCACCAAGCTTCTGCCTTCCCCCGCCCTGCCGCCCTGCCGTCCTGCCTCTGCTGAAGGCCGCCCCGCTGGTGCTCTTGGGTATCCGTGGGCTCCTCTCTGAGGATGGACCTTGGGTTCTGCCTCTTCTCACCGCTTCCTCTGCCCCGTCGTTGTTCACCTAGACCTCTTGTCTCCCAGCCTCGCCCTCCAGACAGCCAGAGGGGTCTGCTGAAACAGAAACAGGCCTCAGCCCTTCTGGGTGAACCCCCCAGGCCCTGCACGATCTGCCTCCTCCCCTCCCCACCCTTACTTTACTCCTCTCCTACACTCACTCTGTTCAGCACCCCAGGCTCGGTCCAGCCTCTGGGCCTTGGCACTGGCAGTTCCCTCCGCCTGGAATGCTCTTCCTCCAGGCTGCACACCTCTATCCCTCACACCTACACCGTGGAGGCCTCCTTGGCCATGAGTGTGTAAAATGCAGCTCCCCCGCCACACACGAGGGCAGGGATTGAGTCCACTTGTTTCCCTTTGGCGACCCAGCGCCCAGCACTGTACCTGGGGTCCTGCACGCCCTGCCTGAACGTCCATGACAAGCCAGCCTTCCCTCCTTCAGGAACTGGTGGTCGACCTCCGTGTGTGAGCTTGGCGGGTGGGCACAATGGACCTGGCTTATGTCTGCGAGTGGGAGAAATGGCCCAAGAGCACCCACTGCCCGTCGGTGCCCCTGGCCTGCGCCTGGTCCTGCCGCAACCTCATCGCCTTCACCACAGACCTCCGCAGCGACGACCAGGGTGCGACCCTCGCCCAGCCCCCATCCCATGTCATCAGGCCCCAGCTCCTATAGGTTTCCAGCATCTCCTCATCGGTGACAGGGTGATGAGGGGTGAAGGGCCGAGTGTGCTCTCCCGTGCCTGGAGCCAGGGGACCCTTGGGTCACCCCTGCAGAATGTGATGGGGTGATGGGTGGGTGGTTCCCTACAGCTTGGCCTGAGGCTCATGCCTGAGTTTTCCAGGCTTTTGAAAGCCTTTGAGGTGCACCAGGCCTGCGCTTGTTAGAGGAAATTGGAAAAACAGAAGTTTAGGATGAGGAAAACGAACCAGAGGTTCCCTCCCACGGAGAGATGCCCGACATTAGCGTTTCGGGTTTTCTCGTCCTTTCAATCACAGGTGTAGGCACACAGGTGGCAGAGTCTCGGGCCTGCTCAGGGAGGAGACCCAGCCTGTTCCTGGAAAGCCCTGGGCCGTGGGCATGTCAGCAGCAGCTCTGCGCTTGCTGGGGCTGGGGCTTTGCTGGGCTTCTCCCTCATCACCCCTGGGGTCACTGCCGGCTGTGCTGTGATTGCCCTGTTGACCACCCAATCCCTCGCAGACCTGACCCGCATGATCCACATCCTGGACACGGAACACCCCTGGGACGTGCACTCCATCAACTCTGAGCACAGTGAAGCCATCACCTGCCTCGAGTGGGACCAGTCAGGTGAGGAGGGGGCCGGGGGGCTGGCGGGGCCGAGGGAGGGGGCAGTGCTCATCCTTGATCTCCAATCCCTGGGCTGTCTGCTCTGTTTCCTGGTCGGTCCCCAGGGTCCAGAGCTGGGACTCAAACCGTTGACCTGTGTCTTTGCGGCCCCCGCACTTCCCACTCCCCATGTCCAGAGTCCTTTCCAGAATATACCTGTGCCACTCCCCTGCTCCACCTCCCCAGAGCCTTGATGTGTCTAGCGGCAGGCTTTGTGACGCAGGCTCACGGCTCCTGTCGGCCGACGCTGACGGGCAGATCAAGTGCTGGAGCATGGCAGACCACCTGGCCAACAGCTGGGAGAGCCACGTGGGCAGCCTGGTGGAGGGGGACCCCATCGTGGCCTTGTCCTGGCTGCACAACGGTGTGAAGCTGGCCCTGCACGTGGAAAAGGTGGGTGTCCCATCTGCGTGAGTGGGGGTGGTGGACGGGGGCCTTCACCCTTCCTGCCCACCTGCCAGCCTCCGGGCTGGCTCCTCCCCGCATTGCCAGCACCTTGGTCTCTCCAGCCGGGGCCCAGTCACAGTGGCCACCAGGCCGTGAACACCTGTTTCCAGCTGGCCACCCATTTAACTAGTGGCTGCTGTTCTCGGAATGCAGCCCACCCTTTGATTTAGTAATATCCCAGAATTCTTCCCTGGACCCCGATTCAGCCCAGCGTCTCTACTGAGAGTGGGTGCCACCCAGGTCAGGGACCCTGAATCCATGTCCTAACCTCACACCTCCACATGTCACTTTCCTCTGGGTCACGTGGTGCTGATGGTGGTCACAGTCAGGGTTCACTGCAAAGCCGCCGCCTGGCGCAGGGTGAGGGCCCAGGGCCGCCACAGGTGTTTGGACGACTCTTCAGCTGGAGCGGCCTCCAGAACCAGGAGGCCCTCCTGGATTGATGCCATGGAAAGTGACTTTTTCTCCTGTCCCTTCCCCACATCTGCCTGCCCTGAGCCCAGCTAGGCCTGGGGGCTCTTACTGTCCATGCATGGGAGCAGAGCCTGGGCGCCAGCCGCCTGCCCCGGGATAGGCCCCTGCTGCCTTTTTTTTGTGTGTTTTCTTTTCTTTCTTTCTTTCTTTTTTTTTTTTTTAACAATTTTGTTGAGATGTGGTTCGCATACCGAGTAACTCACTCTGCTGAGGTACACGATTCAGGGGGTTTTCAGTATCTTCACAGACTAGTGCAACCATCACCACAGGCAGTTTCAGACCATCTTCATCACCTCGAAGAAAGCTGCGTCCCCATGAGCCTCACCCCCCACCCGCTCCAGCCCCTGACCTCCGGGAACCCATTCTCTGTACCCGTGGACTGGCCTGTTCTGGACGCCTCACGTCCATGGAGCCGCACGCTGTGTCCTTCTGTGCCTGCTCCTCTCCCTGAGCGTCGTGCTCTGAGGGTCTGTCCACGTGGGAGCGGGTGTCAGTGCTTGACTCCTTGTTACCGGATACGTTTGTCTTCAAATTATAAACGACGTGTGTGCTGGTTTAAAACGCTCAGACGTGGGACTTCTGAAGCCCGTGGCATTGAGGTCAGGCATTTGGCTCCCGTCTCCCAGGTAGGCACTCTCACCGCTTGTGTGGCTGCCTGGCCTTCTGGATCCTTCCCCCGGGGGAAGTGTCTTTTTCAAACATCTGCTCTGCAGTGAAGTCGTGCACCACATGCGCTCCTTCATTGTAGTAGGGACCTTGCTCTGCATCACCACCCATGAGCTCCCGCCTTTTTGTGTCTTTTATCAACTCAAGTGACAGATCTGATGGTCCTTGAGCAGAATTCTGGCCGCTGAGAAGAAGCCTTTTAGAGCCTCAGCGGCTCAGGCCCCGCCCACCCTCTCCGGGTTCTGGAGAAATGCCACTGCGGGCATCTTGGGGTTGCTGCCCATGTCTCTCCTTGGGGGCCATCAGGGCCTGGGCTTCCTTCTCTCTGACGGGGGGTCAGAGAGGCCCACATCACAGGACACTCAAGTGGCTGGGGCCGAACCTGGACTCAGGTTCATGCTCTCCTGGCTTCTGCCACATGGTTCTTCTGTGTTCCCAAGTGTGCGGCTTCCAGAAGAGGGTCCTCGGTCTCCCAAGGTCGATCCCTGAAGGCTGAGCAGGTGCCTGGGGAAGGGGTCACCAGGCTGACCCTCCCTCTGCCCGCAGTCAGGCGCCTCCAGCTTCGGGGAGAAGTTCTCCCGCGTCAAGTTCTCACCGTCGCTCACGCTGTTTGGGGGCAAGCCCATGGAGGGCTGGATTGCGGTGACGGTCAGCGGCCTGGTCACCGTGTCCCTGCTCAAGCCCAGCGGCCAGGTGCTGACCTCGACGGAGAGCCTGTGCCGGCTGCGTGGGCGCGCGGCCCTGGCCGACATCGCCTTCACGGGTGGCGGCAACATCGTGGTGGCCACGGCGGATGGCAGCAGCGCGTCCCCTGTACAGTTCTACAAGGTGTGTGTGAGCGTGGTCAGCGAGAAGTGCCGCATCGACACCGAGATCCTGCCCTCCCTCTTCATGCGCTGCACCACCGACCTCAACCGCAGGGACCGCCTGCCCGCCATCACCCACCTCAAGTTCCTGGCGCGGGACATGTCGGAGCAGGTGAGCCCCCTGCTGTGGCTCAGCTCCTGGCCCCATGGCCAGACCTCCTAGGGACTAACCCAGGCGTGGGCGGGGCTGGTCCCCCAGAGGCTCCAGGGAGAAGTGGCTCCTGCCTCTTCCAGCTTCTAGAGGCTCCACATCCCTGGCCCCCGGCCCCCCTCATCCTCACCGCCAGCAGCGTAGCGTCCCCCGTCTCTCTCTGACTCTGACCTCCCGCCTCCCTCTGATGAGGACTCTGTGAGGACACAGGGCCCCCTGGGAATCCAGGGTCACCCCCATCCCAGGGGCCTTAACTCAATCCCACCTTCAGGGTCCCCTCTGCCCTGTGAGGTGACGCATCCTCAGGTCCCAGGACCAGGGCAGGAACCAGGTTAGACGGGGTCTCATTGTAACCTCGTAGTGATAAGCCCCCACCTTCAGGAAGCCCTGATGTGTTCCCCTGGTCCCCTTTGCTTTCTGCCAGGGGCACCAGCGGGTGACTGCCCTCCCCATGCGAGGTGCTGTGGTGGGTGGGTAGGTGTGGACTTGGGGTGGGCAGACCTGGGTTTGAGTCCACAACGGCCATGAGGTTGGTGCTGGCATGAGCCCTATGTAGGAGCCGGAGGCCCAGAGAGGCCAGGGGGCCAAGTCCAGGCCCGCTTCCCAAGCCGCTGCGCCAACCCCCAGGTGCTCCTGTGTGCGTCCAGCCAGACGAGCAGCGTGGTGGAGTGCTGGTCCCTGCGCAAGGAGGGGCTCCCCGTGAACAACATCTTCCAGCAGCTCTCGCCTGCCGGTGAGCCTCCCTTTCCGCCTGGCCTTGTGTCCCGCTGTCCTGGCACTGGGCGTGGTGAGGGTGTCCCAGCGCAGGGACCCTGGGCAGGCCAGTTACACAGGCCCCCGAGTCCCAGGACCCTCTGAAACCCCGATTAGAGTGAGCGTGGGGGTGAATGGAGTTGGCCAAGAACACGCCCTCCAGCTCCCCTCGCCTCCCGTCCCCACACCACTTGGAGCCCCAAGCCCCTCACCAAGGCTGTCCCCTCTCCTGACACCTGGCGAGGCGCGGAAGCCAGAAAAGCCAGCTTCCCAGAAGCTGGGGTGACCCCGTGGCCCAGGTCTCCGGCCACCTCTGCGCTGTACACAGGGTGTTTTCCTGCAGACGGAAGCTTTGGCTCTTTGCTGATCAGCACTAATGGGCCCTGGAGTAGCTGTGGAACTGGGTCAAGAGGCCCCTCACAGCCCTGCTCACCCGCAGGGGTTACATAAGCTGCCTATTGTGGCTGGGGAGAAATTAAGTGCCCAGAGGGTCACGCTGCCTTTCCTGAGTGACCCTGTGGGCGGGTCGGGCGACATGGGGCCTCGGCCCTTCCCAGGTCTTCCTCCTTCCTCCACGCAGCTCAGGGCTCTGTCTTCCCAACTTCTTGCCCCCCACGCCCATGCCCGGGCTTGTCCTGCGCCTTGTCTCCCACCCCCGCCATCCCCAGCCCTGGGGCCTTGTCACAGGTGGGACCACATCTCAAGCAGAAGGACCTCCCCTTGCTGGGTGGAGTCTTGTCCTTATGCATGTGTTGGGATGCTGGAGGTGGTCTCTGAGCTCACACGCCCAACCCCACCCCACCCCTCAGTCCAGCCTCACAGGCCTTTTGGGCTCTCAGGCCTGCCCCTTCCGGTCTCCCCTCCCACCTGTGCCCACACCAGTCCCCTGCCCGGCAGCCTGTCCTCCCTGAGTGTCCACCTCAAGCCCTTCTGGAGGGTGGCCACCCCTAAGCAGACCTCAGGCCCCCGTTCTACCAACCATGCTCCACGCCATGGTCGAGTCAGTGGCCTGGCGTGGGTGGACAGGTGGGTTCAGGTCCAGCTCTGCCTCAGCCTCCAACAGACACGCCCCTTTGTGGACCTAGCAGGGCCCGAGCCGTCACGGTGGGTGTGGATCACTGTGTGCTGCTGCCCGGGTTGTCACTCTCACAGCGCTGTTTGGTGTCGCTGCATCAGGTGCTATAGTCCACTCTGGTCTCAGGCCGAGTCGCCCTCTCTGGGCCTCAGTCTCCCTGAGGGATGACTTTTGCCAAGAGTCCCCTTATGTGGGCTGTTCAGGGCCGAGCGCTCAGGACAGATGGGCCGAGAGGAGCTGTGTCTCAGCCAGCTTTGCCGTGTAACACACCAGTCTCGAACTCTGGCTGAGAACCACAGTCCGGAAGGTCCTGGGCTGGGCTGCCTCTGCTGCTCAGTCCTGGTTCCAGGTCTGCCGTCAGCCCCGGGGCAGCCGGGGCAGCTAACCATCGGCTGGCGCCTGTTCACCTAGCCCAGCCTCACCTAGGTGTGTGGGCAGTACTGAGCCTTAGCTGGCATCATGCCTACAGGGCCCACGGGCCGAGTTCAGATTGACGGGAACCAGCCCACCTCTGGTTGAGGGGCTTCCTCATCACTCTGGGACTGGGGGGCGCAGGGGGTCCATCTTGGCCCCTGGTCCGTCCAGCTGAGGCCTCCTGGGGAAAGTTGGGGTTCCACCCAGGACCTCTCAGACCACAGGGACAGAGAACCCAGTGCCAGCTGGCTGAGATGCGAGGGGAATTTTGGGGTTTTGTGGTGGTGAGGTCTGGGGTGGGGTCACTCCCTAGCACGTTGGCTCCTTCAAGGGAACATGGTGGTGCCGCCCCACCAGGCATCATGTGCTCAGGGCCCCGGGAAGGGCAGGGTGCTGGGGCAGGTCATCCTCTTTGTCTTCACTCTGTTGCTGTCTGTCCCCTCAACCCCATCCCCACCCCCGCTTTCAGTTGGCGACAAACAGCCCATGATTCTCAAATGGCGGATCCTGTCAGCCACCAATGACCTGGACCGTGTGTCTGCCGTGGCGCTGCCCAAACTGCCCATCTCGCTCACCAACACTGACCTGAAGGTGGCCAGCGACACCCAGTTCTACCCCGGCCTCGGTACAGCTGTCTCCCGAGCTCCCTGGGGGGGTGGGCTCCGAGCTGAGTCTCAGGGTTGTGGGAGCCTGCCTCCCAGCCTCATGTCCACGAGGATGTGGGCGCTGCTTTCGGGGTTGTATGGGCTCAGAGGGCTGGGAGGCTGGCCAACGAGCTTTGCTCTTTAACATGGAGAGAGCTGCTGGAAATCAGGGGAGAAGCTGGGAACTTGTGGCAACCTGTCCTTAGGCAGCATCATCCCCTTACCTCGCCCCCGCTCTGCAGTAGCTGCGATGTGGGTCCTGGGCACAGCCCCCGGGGGCACACAGCCACACCGCAGCCCCCGACCTCGCTGACCTCCGCTGCCCCCAGGCCCTTTGTGTGCTCTGGCCCTAGGCCCTTGCGTCTGCTGTGTGTCCTACCCACTTGTCCCCCTGGACATCAGTGTTGGCTCACATCGGCCAAAGCTCAGGGCCAGCTGCGGGGGGTGGGCAGGGGAGGAGACCCCGCAACAAGCGGCTCCAGCGATTCGGGGGCTGTTAGCAAGGGAGAGGGGAGAGCGGCTGCCAAATACCCGGGTGGGGCGGGCTTAGTGGCCCAGGCTCGGCACCCCCGGCGCAGCCTCTGCCTGACGCCGCGTGTGCCCCCAGGGCTGGCCCTGGCCTTCCACGACGGCAGCGTCCACATCGTGCACCGGCTCTCGCTGCAGACCATGGCCGTCTTCTACAGCTCTGCGGCCCCACGCTCCGTGGACGAGCCGGCCATCAAACGCCCTCGGACCACGGGCCCTGCCATCCACTTCAAGGCCATGCAGCTCTCCTGGACCTCCCTGGCCCTCGTGGGCATCGACAGCCACGGCCGGGTATGCGCTGTCCTGATGAGTCTTAAGCCCCTGCTGCGTGGGGGCTGAGGGTGGCCGTGCCCTCTGGGGGGACTGGGCGGGGTCTCTGTCACAGGGTGCGGTGTGTGGCTCACCGCCAGTGCTCAGAAGTGGGAGCCCTGAGGATGGTTGCTCTGCAGGGTAAGGGGTCCTGGGATTAACACCCCTAACACCACCCCAACTGTGAGGAGTAAGTGCTCGTTCCCAGAGGAACCTGCCCACGGCCTGGCCGGGACACGCAGGCAGCCCTCACACTCACTCTTGCTTACACACACGCACACAGGTGTTTCCACTCTCCCACGTTCACAGCCCACGTGTTCGCACACGGCACGCATTCTCAGACACATGCATGCGTTCGCACACTCACACTCACGTGCGTGCACCCCCACCCCCCTAGAGGCAGTGGGCTCCTGGGTCGCTGTCGGGTGTGCCCTGTGATTTCTGTTCTGGCTCTGCCCGCATCTGCTCCGGCCTGTCCTCGGCATCTCTGGGTGGTGGGTTCGTGTTCTCCGGAGCACTGGGTCTGTGTCTTCAGGGACCGCACGACCTCTGCCGGTCCTGTCACTGCACACATGCTCTGCTGGGTGGGAGGCCTCCCAAGTCCCTCTGGGGAAGCGCCACCGCCACAGAAACCAAGGACTCATGACCTCATTTCACACCATGTGGCCAGCCAGTGTCTCTGCAGCCCTCGGGTCCGACAGGACAGGACTGCAGGCCTGGACCTGGGGTGGTGCAGCCTTCCTGCCTCTCGCCGCCCCGCCCCTCATGGCCCACCCTGTCCTGGCAGCTGAGCATGTTACGCATCTCGCCGTCCATGGGCCACTCGCTGGACGTGGGGCTGGCCCTGCGGCACCTGCTCTTCCTGCTGGAGTACTGCATGGTGACCGGCTATGACTGGTGGGACATCCTTCTGCACGTGCAGCCTGGCATGGTGCAGAGCCTGGTGGAGAAGCTGCACGAGGAGTACACGCGCCAGAAGGCCGAGCTGCAGCAGGTGTGCGCGCCTCCCTCCTCCGGTGACCCGCAGGCCTCCCCGCCATGCCTGGTTGCCGGGTGCTGCCTCAGCCACCAGCGCTCGGCTGCGGGCTTGACCCCACCTGACTCTGGGTGGCCCTGGAGGCCCTTGCCCCTAAGGTGAGAGCGTAGACCATAGCTCTAAAGGTGGGAGAGGCGGAGAAGGATCCGAGGCCCGCTGGTGCACCTGTAACACGCGGAGCCTCCCAGCTGAGGATGGCAGCTGTGCCACTCAGCACTTTTCAGAACCCGAAGTGGTCCTGTGTGCCAGCAGTGACCAACCAGGAGAGAGACGGGAGAGAAAGGCCCCGTCCCCAGTGCCAGCCTGACAGGTTACATGGACTGCTGCGAGGCCCCGGGCAGCGGCGTGAGACAGGGCTGGGCTGGGCTCGGAGCCCATAATGCCAGAAGGCTAAAATCCCTGGCTTAGCGGGCTGAACTGCTTGCGAGCATTTTATATTTTAAGTCCATCAGTTAACCCTGCGACGCCAGGGCTGGGTCATCCTCTGGGGGCCGTCCCCGAACAGTGGGGCATCCCTGGCCCCACCCACTTCATGCCGGGAGCCCCAGTTCTGGCCCTGTGGCCCTGGGGCAGGCCTGGTCCTAGATTGAGACCCTGCTGTCCTGTGAGAAAGGTCTCTTACCTGCTCACTCACGCCCCCCACCCCCCAGGTCCTCTCCACCCGGATCCTGGCCATGAAGGCCTCGCTCTGCAAGCTGTCGCCCTGCACAGTGACCCGTGTGTGCGATTACCATGCCAAGCTCTTCCTCATTGCCATCAGCTCCACACTCAAGTCGCTGCTGCGTCCACACGTCCTCAACACACCGGATAAGAGCCCGGGAGACCGGTTGACCGAGATCTGCGCCAAGATCACGGACGTTGGTGCGTCCTGCCTGCCCCGCCCTCGTGGGCTGCCGTGGTGATGGAGTGCCTTAGCATCCACGCCACAGTGGAGGACCCTCCCAAACCACCGAGGAGGGCCCCTTGGGCATCTCATGTGTGCCAGGGGCGGGGACTCTCGCGGCAGGCAGCAACAGGGGAACAGATGACCCAGCCTGGGGGCTGGTGTCCACAGAGGTGCTGCCCATGCGGAGGGAGGCCTGGGGGCCGGCGGGAGCAGCAGGGTGCCCGGTACAGGGAGTCCGAGGGGCAGGCAGGGAGTTCTGAAGGCCAGCAGTGGACACTCGGAGCTCCTCCAGTCAGCCCTTCCCTCCAGGGTCCTGGACTCAGCCTTGCTGACCCCTCATTTGCTTGTTCACAACGTCGGGGTCGGCTTTCCGGGGCTCAGCTCATAGTGGGTGCTCGAGCTGAACATGTGAGGTCCTGACTTTCTGTCCCCTGCTAGACATTGACAAGGTCATGATCAACCTCAAGACGGAGGAGTTTGTCCTGGACATGAACACACTGCAGGCACTGCAGCAGCTCCTGCAGTGGGTGGGCGACTTCGTGCTCTACCTGCTGGCTAGTCTGCCCAATCAGGTGTGCCTGCTGCGGCTCGGAAGCCCCACCTCCCCGGCCCCGCCCCCCCAAAGCCCCACCCGCCGCTCCCGCCCCTCCCGAGGCCCCACCTCCTCCGGCCCCGCCTCCCCCGAAACACCCACCCCTCAGGACCTGAGTTCCAAGGACGCAGCGCACACTGAAGTGCACAACCAGGGCACCTCTCCCCGTAGGGCTCCTCACTGCGGCCAGGCCACAGCTTCCTGCGGGACGGCACCTCGCTGGGCATGCTGCGTGAGCTGATGGTTGTCATCCGCATCTGGGGCCTGCTGAAGCCCAGCTGCCTGCCTGTGTACACGGCCACCTCAGACACCCAGGACAGCATGTCCCTGCTCTTCCGCCTGCTCACCAAGCTCTGGATCTGCTGTAAGACACACGGCCTTCTGCTCTCATTCCTCCATCGAAATACAAGCCCTGACTGAGTCCCTCCACCAGAATACAAGCTCCCACAGGTCAAATTGTTGTCTTAGCCTCCAGTGTTTCCCCAGCACAGGTCCGGGCACAGTGTGAGTGCTCATTAAACTCAGCCATTCTTAACTCACATGTGTCTTGTGTCACCAGGTGTGTGTTTCTGGAGCCAGACACTGTTGCTGGTGCATCTCTGATGCCAGAAAGGGCACCCAGTGCTCGCTGCATATTTTTTTGTCTTTTTTCAGCTTTGTTTTGTTTTGTTTTCGGGGGAGGTAATTAGGTTTTATGTAATTACTTACTTATTCTGATGGAGGTGCCAGGGGTTGAACCCAGGACCTCGTGCATGCTAAGCAGGCGCTCTACCACTGAGCTATAGCCTCCCCTACTTTGCTGCATATTTTTTAAATGAGTAAGTGGGTCCCCATTTTACAGAGGAGAAGGCTGAGGCCAAAGGGGGAAGGAGCCTTCCAGGGCCACCCAGGAAATCAGGGGAGGGCTGGGGCCTGCACTTGGTGTTTTGTGAGCTGAGGAGGCCAGGGTGCCTCCTGGGTGGGCAGTGCTCCCGGCAGGGCTGTGGAGAGTGACACGCCCGTGGTCCCCTCCCTGCAGGCCGTGACGAGGGCCCAACGAGCGAGCCGGACGAGGCACTCGTTGATGAGTGCTGCCTGCTGCCCAGCCAGCTGCTCATCCCCACCCTGGACTGGCTGCCGGTCAGCGACGGCCTGGTCAGCCGCCTGCAGCCCAAGCAGCCCCTGCGTCTGCACTTCGGCAAGACTCCTGCTCTGCCTGGCAGCGCGACCACCTTGCAGCTGGACGGCCTCATCAGGTGCGTACCCGTTTCTGCCTCCGGCCCTTGGCACGGCCCTTCCTTCTGGCAGAGCTTCCCAAAACCAGCCTGATCTCCTTCACACCTCTGTCTCAGGGCCTTTGCACGTGCTGTGCCGTCTGCATCCTTCCAGCCTGACCTAAATGCTGTTCTGGAGAATTCCGCTACCTCCGAGTCCCTCTCCCCTCCCTGTCACTTCCCTCATCCAGCCTACACTGACTTGTGACCTCGTCTCTGGGTGTTGTCATCCTTCCTCTGGTCTGTCCCCACATACGTGCAGGACCCATGTGGCTGACCTTGGCTGCTCAGGCTCCAACCCCTCCAGAGTTCAAGCTGATACCCCAAGCCCCCACCAGAAATTGCACTGCAGCACAGACTGCCGGGCAGGCCCAGGCCCCGGGGAAGCAGAACCCTCCCTAGGCAGGACCTTCCCAGGTTTTAGAGGAACCGTTCTTTGGAACAGGTGGGTCCTGGACAGGCCATGCCACGCCTGCCACTTTAACCCTTTACTGCCCAGCCATGCTGTGGGGTGGGTGTTTGTCCCCTTTAAATAGGCAAGCTAAGCCGCCAGGATCCCGGGACACCGCAAACTGCCTCCTGTTTCCGGTGCTCGGGCGATGAGTCCCCAGGCAGTGCCGCTAGGGGCGGGGCCTTAGCGCCCTGCAGCCCCTGCTCCTGGAAGCCGCTCTGGGCCTTGTTCCCCGAGACCTCCACATTTTCTTTCTTGTCTGGTGGTGGGAGGAATGGCCTGAGGAATCACACGCTGTGGTTTGCATCTGGGCTTTAGGAAAACCTTCCAAGAAGAGGTGGCTGGTCACTCGAGGGGTTTCACACTCTTTCAGAGGTTTTCAAACATTCCGCACCGCTGAAACGAGCGGACCCGCCCCCGCCCCGCGTTCCCTCTGACGGGGCTCAGCCCAGGTTCTCAGCTGTTGTGGGGGTGCGGGCCCTCCGGGGGGGCGTCTGTGTGTGTGAGCCCCAATGGTGGACGCCGCCCCCTTCCCCAAGTGTGCATGTCACGCCCGCTTTGCTTCTAGGCTGCAGATCTGCACTGGCGGGCGGGTGCACGTGGTGTGGGTGCATGCACATGGGTGCAACAGCCCCTCACGCGCTGCTGTCCCTGCCAGGGCGCCGGGCCACCCCAAGATGGACCACCTGCGGAGGCTGCACCTGGGCGCCCATCCCACGGAGGAGTGCAAGGCGTGCACCAGGTGAGCGCCTGCTGGCCGCACCCTCCGTGCTGCCCCTGGCCACTTTGGGCCTCGGTTTCCCCACCTGCGAGCAGGGGTCTCCGGCAGCCTCCCCGAGTGTCCTGTCCCTGGGCGCTGATTGTGAGTGCTTCATCCGAGCCTGCCCCAGTGGCGCTCCCAGTCACCTGACCAGGACAGAAACGAAGGAGTGACCGCAGCAGTGCTGCGCTTCTCAGACACGGCCTGGGTTGCTGCAGACCACCCTGGGTCACACCACTAGGGGCTGGCTGAGACCCCCGGCCCTCCTCCACCACTCAGGAAGGTGGGGATTGATGTCTGAGCTGGGACGGAAGGACGCAGAGGAGTCCGCGCATCATAGGCTGGGGGCATGCAGGGAACAGCGTTCCCGGGCCAGCAGAGCACGGGCAAAGGCCCTGCGCAGGTGGGAGCCCAGCCCCGCCCAGCGCCCCACCGCCGGCTCTGCCTGCAGGTGTGGCTGCGTCACCATGCTTAAGTCACCCAACAAGACGACGGCTGTCAAGCAGTGGGAGCAGCGCTGGATCAAGAACTGCCTGTGTGGGGGGCTGTGGCGGCGAGTGCCCCTCAGCTGTCCCTGAGCGCACTCGGCCCTGTAAGTGGAGGCTCCAGACGGCCTTTAATTATTAGTTGGATGGCTTCTTTTTTATTTTCATTTTATTGAAGTGTAGTTGATTTACAGCGTTGTCTCTGGTGCACAGCAAAGTAAGTCAGCTCTGCATATACTTTTCCAGGTTCTCTTTTATTATAGTTTGTTACAAGTTAATGAGTCTAGTTCCCTGTGCTGTACAGTGGGTCCTTGTTTATCTATTTTATATCCAGTCGTTTGTGTCTGCTAACCCCAGACTCCTAATTTGCCTCTCCCCACTCTTTTCCCCTTTGGTAATCCTAAGTTTGTCTTCTCTGTCTGTGAGTCGGCTTCTCTGTTTCGTCAGTAAGTTTATTTGTGTCGCATTTCAGGTTCTGTATATGAGTGATACCCTGTGATACTTGTCTTTCTCCGTGTGACTTCACTTATTGTGACAATCCCCAGCTGCATCCACGTTGCTGCAAATGGTAGTATTCCATTCCTTATGGCTGAGGAGTATTCCACTGTGTATGCAGACCACATTTTCTTTATCCAGTCATCTGTTGTCGATGGACATTTAGGCTGCTTCCATGTCTTGGCTGCTGTAAAGAGTGCTGCTGTGGACCTCGGGGTGCAGGTGTCGTTTCGCGTTAGAGTGCTCTCCAGTTGTACACCCAGGAGTGGGGCTGCTGGGCCACATGGTGCGTCTGCTTTTAGTTTTCTCAGGAGTCTCCATACTGTTTTCCACAGTGGCTGCACCAAACTGCAGTCCCACCAGCAGTGTCAGAGGGTTCCCCTTTCTCCACAGCCTCTCCAGCATTTGTCGTTTTTGGATTTTTGAATGACGGCCATTCTGACTGGTGTGAGGTGATACCTCATTGTAGTTTTGATTTGCATTTCTCTGGTAATTAGCAATACTGAGCATCTTTTCATGTGCTTATTGGCTGGCTGGCTGTCTTTGGAGAAATGCCTGCCTAGGTTTCCTGCCCATCTTTTGATGAGATTGTTTTTTTGTTTTTCAGTTGTACGAGCTGCTTATGTATTTTGGAAATTAATGCCTTGTCAGTGGCATCATTTGCAAATATTTTCTCCCATTCTGTAGATTGCCTCTTTATGGTTTATGGTTTCCTTTGCAAAATGTAAGTGGATTCCTGATGGATTTCAAGGAAGGCCATACTGTCCCCTTGCCGGAGACAGAGCAGCTGTGTACTCCAGACCTTCACTGGGTGCGTTAGACAGCGCCACCTTGAACTATGCTTTTGGGGCCTTGTCAGCCGCAGCCAGCACCCCGGTATCCGACAGGACAGGCGAGGACACGGCCTGAAGCATCGAGTTGGCGCCCTCAGCCCCAGGCGCTGCTCTTTCTCCCTCGGGCCTGACGGTGAGCCCCGGGAGGAGGGCCCAGCCGCGTGGCCACCCTACCAGCTGGTGACTGAGACCTCCCCGGGCAGAGCCAGGGCCCATGTGCCGCGTCTGGGACCTCTGAGTGCCACAGGTCCAGGATGGCCCAGGCCTCTGTCCTTTGGAACTTTTCACGTGGACCCATCAGGCCGCCTGCCCCGGTTCACTCACCTTGCCTGTTGATAGATACCAAGCCCTCGTGTCCAGAGGTCTGTGAGCGGGGCGGGCCCAGGAAAGCCCCCACAAGGCGTTTCGTCGGTGTCCTGGGCACGGCCCCTCCCCAAGCCTCGTCCAGTTCCTGCTCCCTTCCCCGGCTGTGTGCTTCTGCCCCTCGTGTGTTGCTTTCTTGCTGTGTCAGCATTATTGAGCACTTAGTGTATGCCAGGCACAGGGTCCCTGTGGGGAGCAGTAGGCTAGAGGTGGCTGGGGGTGCTCCCTGCCCCCAGTTTCTGCTGATATGAGCACCTCTGTCTCTTGTCCCCCCTACCTGGCCCCGCCCCTGGGTTCTGGGAGCTCAGGCCTCATTCCCCAGGGGTCCTGTGTCTGCCAGCAGCCACTTTCAGATTCTGTCTGGCTCCCCGTGGCCTCCAGGCACAGTGGCTGCCTGTTAAGTGGTAATTGGTTCTCTTGTTTTCCTTCTGGAGATCAGAGGGAGGGTAGGCCAAGTAGCGGGAGGTCAACTCACGCTGCTTTGTCAGGCTTTCCGGGGGTGGCCAAGCTCCAGGAGCCCCATTATCTGGGCTGGGGGCCTGTCTCCCTTCCACCTGCGGCAGCCACCGCACCAGAGGGAGGGTGACAGCATCCAGGGCCAGCACAACCTGCGGCCGAGGTCGCGTCTGCTGGGAGGGGGTGGAAAGCCCGGGTCCGGCACCTGGATGTGCGCTCACTGCCCGGAGGAGGGAGGTGTCTGTAAACCATTTGCTCTCACTGGAGGTGCAGGAGGAGGGCCTCTCCTCCGGGACCCTCCCACCCAAACTGCGCCCACACTGTCGGGTGGGGGCCATAAAAGGCTGTCCTTACTGGTTCCTGCACATTTTTCCTCGGCCTCTTCTGATCAGTTATGTCTCCCATACCTCATTTGACCGTATGTTTTTAAGCAATTTGCCTTTCTTAGGTCACTCTGAAGTCTTTAAACTAGTTAATTGTCTTAGAAAAATGAGTCTGTTTTCTTGCACTCACATGTCACTGGTCTAGCGTTGAATTGTGGGGGTTTTACAACCTGGCCGCTGTCCTCTGACGGCTCTGTGGAGGGCGGGCCCCTGGCCCCTCCCCTTGGGTCTGGGGGCTCGTGCCTGTTCCCACCTGCCCTGCGCAGTGGGAGTGGCGCCTTGTGACCCTGAGGCTGAGGGGGACCGGCCTGGCTCCTGGGCCCTCGTCTGGGCCCCGGGGCTGCAAGGAAGCCCATGCGACGTGGGGAGGTGCCTGTGGGTGCTCAGTACACCTCACCCCATGCCTCCGGACACCTCCAGGCCCCGAGGCTCCAGTCACCTAGATGGTGGAGCCGGGATGAGCCCCCGTGCCCGTAGGACCCCCAACCCTCGTAAGCTGCGCTCAGTGGACAGTGAATGTGGAGAGGCGGGGGTTCAGCATTGCCAAGTCTGGGGCGGTTTGTTACGTGGCAGCAGATAACCAGGACATTTTGGGACTGCTGTGACAAGCCCAGTGGGCTTCAGCGTGCCGGGCTGTCCAGAATCGTTGGCTCATCCGGGGCCATGGGGTGCTGCCTGCTGTGGGTCCTTCTGGAATGTCCTTCCTGGTTGAGAGGGGGTTGTGGTCCCACCTCTTAGGGCAGCAGCAGCACATGGTATCAGGGCGCGAAAGGGCGGTTCAGTCCGCATGTCCCCGTGCCCCTCCTTACAGATCAGGGAGCTGAGGCCACCGTTCTCCAGAAGAGAAGTGGGAAGCAGCCCTGGACTCCCTCTGGCCAGTAGGGCACAGCCACGTGGCCCTCCCTGCGCTCCCTGTCCGTCCTGCCCTCCCCCGTGGCTTGGGGCGTCCCCTCACCGCCTCCCCCGCCCACAAGTGTCCAGGGGGTGTTGCTAGAAGCGGCCTGCAGGGTCACAAGGCTCTCAGATGGCTCTGTCACGCCTGGGTTTCCATTGTGACTGCAGAGCACCCCCCATAGGGTAGAAGGTATTAAGCCTAGGTCGCCTGCCTGGAAACACACAGACCCCTCCCCAGGCTACATCTCCCACTCCATCTGGTCTGCTCTGACCCTCCAGGCCCGGAGAGTCTGGGCCCCCAGCTCACCGACGGGGACAGTCTGCTTTCATCTGTACCCCCAGTGGTGTTGCCAGATAACACGCAGGATGCAGTTCAATTTGAATTTCAGGTGGACGATGCATACTGTCTTAGCATAAATCTGTCCCAAATATTACATGGGATATACTTATGTTACATACAGTATTTGCTGTTTTTCTGAAATTCCCATTTAACTGGATGTCCTGTATTTTTATTTGCTAAATCCAGTAATCCTCCTGCACCCCACCCACCACCACCAAACTGGATCATTTCAAAGGCACTCCGTGGTGTCATGTTTCATTCAGGAAATACCTGTTGGATGAATGAGTCTGTTGTGGCTGAATGACCTGTAGCTGTGTTTCCCTCTCCTCTTTTTCAAACGTGTACAACTTAAATTATGAAATTCGCAGCTGGGCTGAGGAAAGACTCAGACTTGTCATCAGAATGACTAGATGAGTGCCGTCCTGTCCAGTGGAGTATTTGGCTAAGGTCCTATGAGCAGGGCTGGGTCTTAGCTGTGTCTCCAGTACTCAGCCCAGGGCCAGGTACACAGTGGGCGTTTGACAAGTGTTTACATATGAATGAATGGCTCCCAGTTGAACCCTCCGTACAGGAAAATGAAACCTGGCCACAGGTTCCGATTCCAGTCCCTGGTGGGGCACAGGGCTTCACCTCTCAGACCCTCTGTCTTTTTCAACCAAAGGGACTCCTTTAGTGGACCAGGCTTAACACCTGGGGCCTACTAGGGGCTGGGCTTCAGTGGCCCCTCATCCAAGTGGGAGAAGGGCCCTCTGTCACCTCCCAGAAGTGTAAGTGAGACCCAGGAGGGCAGTGAATCACCTGGACCCCCCCAGTCAGTGTGGCTGCTCTGGGACTCCTTCCCGCTTTCCTCAGCCAGTGAACCTGGCAGCACCTAGAGGTGCCTATGAGCACAGGCGCCATAGCTCCGGGTTCAATTCCAGGCTTTGCTCAGGAGCATCTGTGTGACCTCAGGAGAGTCACCCGGTCTCTCTGAGCCTGCTTCCCGATTTGGGACTTGGGTCATAAGAACACAACTTCTCTGTGTACCTCAATCTCAGCCTAGAGCGGGATCTTGCACACGGAAGGCCTTCACGTTCTGCTTGGGGAGCAGAGGGAAAGCTGGACGTTCCCCGGACCCAGTGGACACCCACCCCCAGGTGGGCCCCTCCCTGGGTTCGGGGCTCCTCCAATTTCCAGGGAAGAGTAAGGGCGCCACCGTGTGGCAGAGGTGTGAAGCAACTCCTGGCAGCTCCACAGGCGTCAGTTCCCTGGACTTTTGCCTCCGAAGGTCCCTCCGCCGGACACGCCGTCTCAGCCTTTCAGTCACCTCACCTCCTGGCACTGCATTACCAGGGCAAACGCTTTTGTTTGCTGATTGCGGCCACCCCCTTGGCTCGCCTCCGTCTGCTCCCGCGCGCAGCGCGCAGTCAATACAGACAGGCTGGATGCAGGAAGGGTTGACTTTATTGCTCGGCCCCACCCCCGTGACCGCCGCCCCGCAGGCCCTCCTTAGGCGGCCGCTCCCTCAGCCATCACGCCGTCGATCCAGGCTGCGTAGCTAGCCAAACGCGTGTAGATGCCGGGCTTCTTGCGGTTGCCGCAGACTCGGGAGCCTGAGGTGACCACACCTTCGGCCACGCCCCCGCACACCAGCGGGCCTCCGGAGTCGCCCTGCGTGGGGTGGGGTGGGGTCGTGAGGTCTGGTGCAGGCCCGGCCGCAGGCGTCCGGCCCGCCCTCCCGTGTCGGGTGAGCTCCACCGGCGCCCGCTGCGTTTCCGCGTGTCCCTCTGGCCGCAACCTGCTCCCAGCTGGAGCTGCCGGGAGTTGCTTCAGTCTCCCAGGGCCCTGCCCACTAAGGCCCCGTCTCCCCGGATTTTGGCTCCGCCCCTCTGTCCCGGACCTGTCCCAGGCTCAGCCATCCGCCTCCTCCTCCGACCCTGCCCCCACTCCCCGCCCTCTCCAAGCCCGGGCCCCGTACATACCCTCGTCCAGATCCCACCTCTCCTCCCAGCCCTACCTTGACGTCAGGCCAGACACGCTCACCCAGCCTGTCCCGTGATTGACCCTCCCATCTGGGGCCCCGACACCTGTCTCGGGCCACGCCCACTCCTGGATCCTGGTCGGTGCAAACTCCGCCCACGCGCTAAGCCCCGCCTCCCGCCCCGCCTTTCTGTAGTCCCCGCCCATCCGCGGGCCAGTCCCTTCTGTGTCCCGTCCCTTCGCCGGGCCACACGCTCCATCACGCCCCTCCCCCGCTCGGCCGCGCCCCGCCGCACACCTTGCAGGTGTCCCGGCGGTTGCTCTCTGCGCACATCATGCGCTGGGTGATGGTGCCGTCATGGTACGTGCGCAGGTTGCAGGTGGCGCGGTCCATCACCGGCAGGAGCAAGTGCTGCAGGCGGTCGGGCCGGCGGCCCGTGTAGCTGACCACGCCCCAGCCGGCCACGTCGCAGAGTGTGCCGGCCGCCACGTCTCGGTCCTCGCGCTGCCAGGGCAGGGGCTGCACGGCGGGGCCCAGCACGGCCTTCTCAGAGAGCTGGGGGACGGGGCGGAAGCCGGCATTAGGGTGGGGCGGGCGCGGGGCCCCAAGTGCAGGAGTGGGGACTGCGGAGAGACTTAGCAGACCTGCAGCAAGAGGAGGTCGTGGTCGATGGTGTCAGGTCGGCTGTCCGGGTGGGGCACTGCGCGGAGCACGTCGTACAGGCGCTTGGTGGGCTCCGGCTGCGACAGGGAGTGCGCGCCCAGGAGCACCTGCAGCTTCCCGTCGGCCCTGGGAGTGTGGTAGGCCCGCATCAGACCCACGTCCTGGCCCCACCAAAACCCCCTTCGGGAACTTTGCCCCAGGCCACTCACACGTCCTCCAGGCAGTGCGCGGCGCTCAGCACCCACTGCTCGGCGGCAAGGAAGCCTCCGCACACGTGCTTGCCGTTCACCTGCACCGAGGCCATGTAGGGCCGCGCGTGGGACTTGGCCTCTCTGCCGCCCAGGATCCGGCCTTGGGGCTGTGCTGCTGGAGGCAGGCAGGTCTGCGTGAGGCCTTCAGGGGTGATGGCAGCCCAGCCCTCAGATTCCCCCTCTACCCCCAGGCAGCTCCAGCACCCCTCAGAACAGAACCAGCCTTGGAATCCTCCCAGAGTTGCAAACTCCAGGGGCCCAGGGAGGAATGCCCAGGAAGACAGGTGGCACTGAGGGACAGAGTCTGGGGCAAATTCCATACCTACACGTCCGGCCCAACGGCTCCAACTGAACGTAAGAAAAACGGACTGACCAAACTCACACCCCCACCAGCCAGCTGCCCCTCGGGCTGCGGGTTTTCCACTGTAGAGTTAGGCTCACTGTGCGCAGAAAGCTAGGGTCGAAATTTTGAGAAGTCCTTGGTTTTCAGAGCCTTGTGTTCACATGGACACCGCCACCTCTCTGCCTACTCAGTGGGGCTGGAGGACAGTTGTGTTCGATGGAAGGGGTCCCCCTGGCTGACTGCCCTGCAGGCCAGTGGCCCCCACAGCTGTCACACCAGGCCCAGGTCCACTCACCACATACAGCCACTCCCAGGAGGATCAGAGCCGCCAGGTGCAGCGAGCGGCCCGCCATGGTGCTGCCGGGGCCTCGACACTGACCCAGGCGGGATGCTGGGGCTGCTTTTATGAGGCTGGAAGAGGGCGGGCGCTCCCACAGGCCCTGTCTGCCGAGTGGGCAGAGGCCCAGCTGGGCAGAAAGGAGCCTCCTGTCCGTCCCCCCTGGGGTGGGGTTGGGGGTATCTCCTGCTGGGTTCTGTACCAAGAGTAGACAGGCTGCTGGGCGTGCCGCCTGCCTCTGAGCCTGGCCCAGGCCCAGCCCAGGAGTGGAGAGCAGACCCTCAGGGTGGGCAGCAGGCAGAGCAGAGGGATGGAACTGCCCCCCAGCCCCCCAGCCCAGAATCCCCAGAGTGCCCTTCCCGCCCCAGAGTTTCGCAACAGCAGCCGGAGACCACAGTTTGTAAACAACTCATTTCCTCATTTTCTGCCCCTCCCTTCTTTCTCTTCCTCTGGACACTTGGAGAAGAGGTCAGGTGGGGGCGGGGGAAGGTCTGCTGTGCCTCTGGGACTCGACACCCCAACAAGTAGAATATTGGAAATGTAGCGTGTAGGGCAGCTGGAAAAACTGTTGGATACAAGTGATGGAAGAATCTAGTCGAACTGAGGGGAGGCGCCTTCAACAAGGAAATTTAAATGGAAAGTTCCTGGTCTACCTTCAGGTGTAGCTTGATCCAGGCACCTGAACAATGTTAGGTCTCTGCCTCTGGTTCCCCCTTTCCTCTTTGATGGCTTTCTCCTCACCAGGCGCCCTCGTTGTGACCTCAGGAGCCCCTCCGCAAATTTCCCATCCCTCTAGGCAACGTCTCAAGGCTGTCTCTGGCCGAGCTTGGATCTCACGCTCCTAAACACTCATTGTGGGCAGGAGCTGGTAGGTTCCAATGAGCGGAACCTGGGTCACATGGCCTCTGTAAGTTGGGGTGGTGGGTCAGCATCTCCTGAACCTACTAAGAGAGGTGCTTCCTGCAGCCAGAAGTGGGAGGGGACCTCGAACGTACCCAGTGGGGACAGTGCAATATTTTTACTTTTCCTTCTTTTTCTTTCACGGTGGACTATTTCACTTGTACAGAGAAAAACAGGAAACAACGTAACAAATGTGACAGGTGAGATCCTAACATGCTTCCTGGCTAAAATCAGAAACTGACCAAAAGCCCATTGGGATGTGGAGTCCAGATTGTGTAAGAGTATTGGAAATTGCAACAAAGTTTGGAAATGACCCAACAAGACAGGACGGTTCAATAAATAACCCTGCGTGTCCCCGGATGCTTTGTTGACGCGGAAAGAGTGTAGTATTAAGTGGAAAAAGCAATTGCAGGGCAGTGGGTCACCTTTCTGAGCAGTGGGCATGTGTGTGTGTGGGGTGTGCCCAGGGGGCACCCGGTGGGGAGAGCAGGCGGGCAGAGGGAACAGCAAAAGTAAAGACCCTGGCATGCGGCCCAGGCTGGTGGGGCCCACTGGGAGGAGAGCGGCGGGGGACAGAGGTGGGGGGGTGGTT